CCTGAAGGCCCATACCAAATATTCCCCTCATATCCTCCTTATTGCGTTCACAATTGCATATGGGTATTCGACCCTGTCTTCCATGCTCCTTTCCATGTCATCAGTTTCAACCCAAACTACAAACCAGTTGGCATCATATCATACTCAGGAACTACTGGGATATCAAAGAGTTTGGTCCAGGAACAGAGATTTGCTATGGTTATGTGCCTAAGGACTTCATCAAGCAAGACTTGTCTTCATTCTCTCTCTGGAGGAGACTCATATCCAAGTGTCATGATTGGTTCACATGTTTCTGAATTGTCTTCAAGTCAAGTAACTCACTTACTCATCCTCGAAGATATTTGACAATCAACTGGAATCCTATTGGACGGCTATGACTCATTTTCCCCACATGACTCACTTGCTTCTTGGCTGTACTTCTATTTCCAATTGTTCCACATGGTCTATTGTCTGTGACTCACTTCTATTCTATTTCTGGCTTCTATTTCCAATTCACTGCCACATTTCTATTCATTTCTTCGACCACCTGACTCATTTTTCCATTCTATTACAAACCACCTTCCTGTTTTGGTTTTCTGCGCCTCACTGTTAGTCATTTTTCCTGTCTGCTGTTGATGACATCGTTGTATGGCATACTTGCATTGTTTGTTGTTCTGCTCATGTATATAAGGCCTGTTTTGCCTTAGTGTACCCCAATTCACCTCTTTCAGTTGGATTCACTTGTCTAAGTCTCAGTCTAAGTCTACTACTATGTCTATGTCAAGGCCAGCTTTGTCAATCACATGACATTTGCTGTTGTATCTCATCTATGCTTACATCATCGTATTACGTCATCATCATCGTCACTGCTATGTCCTTGTCTTCATCTTTGTTCTACCTTTGTTGCTGCTGATAGCGAGGCGCACTGCCCTGAACACTGGAGACGTCAGTCCCTCTAAGGCGAGAGCAAAGGGAAGACATATTATGTAACTACGGGCGCCTAGCTATGGGGAAGGCCCTGGCCTGGTCCAAGAGCCCCCCCTGAAGCAATGTGCACCCTCATACATCTGTGTGGTCTGCGTGTGGAGTTGAGATGTAGAATATAAAGTGAAATTGACCATATGAGAAGAGAGAGATTGAGAGAACAAAGGAAAGAAAGAAAAAAAATTAGCCTGTGTCTGGGACCTCCTCTATAGTAGTCTTCTGCTTCGCCAGCTCCTTGCGTCTCTCCTGCTCAACATGTTCCAGCTCTGTACCACAGTTTGGGATGAAGTGGCGCATGCGGCGTCCATGGACAAAAATGCCACCTTCCATTGCATCTCGCGTGTTGATGGAGTATGCATTGATGTGTCACGATATGATCCACATCAGCCCTGACCATCTTGGTGCAAGCTTGTTGGTCACAGCATATGACTTGTTGAGTTTCTCATCATAGACCTGCAAAATGTCACCGGGCTGGAAGTCAACTACATGGACCTTCTTGTCAAACTTCTGTTTGTGGAAGTGTGCGTGGTTGATGGTGCGAGTGTATCCATCACTTTGCAGGGTGTCCACAAAAGCCATGTGTGCTGTGGCTGTGGACACTGAAGCTGGTCCTGCCCCTGTGCTCACATCATCTGGTCTCTCTGTCAATGCCATACCAAACATGAGTTTGCGCAGGGCATATCCCAGTGATGGTAGTATGTGGGAGTTGAGCTGTTCAAGTGCAAGGTTGAAGTAGTTGGGCCAGTTGTGTGGAGCTCTCTTCTCTGTGACATCTTCTGGGTCATCTGTCTCGTCTTCTTCAAATGCTGGGTTGCAGAGGTGGCGTAGTCTGTTGGTAAGCAGCTTGTTAGTGTCCTTGACAAGCCCATTTGTCCATGGTGAGTATGGCAGCGTGCGTGAGTATGTAATTCCATTTGACTTGCAGAAGTCCAGGACTTCTTTGCAGTCAAAGTGAGACCTGCCATCTGTTGCGAAGAGCTTGGGTGTGGAGAATTGCTGCGTGATCCTGTGCAGCCCATCTGCTGCAAACTTCCCTGTGCCTGCTTTCGTAGACTTGAACCCCCAGACATATTGTGTGTATATATCGACGAAGAGTAGGACCGATTTGTATCCACCTTTCCCAGCTTGTAACAACAAGTAGTTGCTTGTGAACATCTGGAAGGTGTGTGCTCTGGTCAGCAGTTGGAGCAGGGAGTGGATGTGACGTGCGCCGAATGCCTTGCATGTTGAGCATTTGGTGATCACGTCAACTACATCTTGGTGCATCTGCAGCCAGAAGCATGTCATGTGGAGCTGCATCTTGCAAAGATCATGTCCCCAGTGGCCATCCTCATGACAGGCTTTTGCTTGTACTTTCCCCTCCAATGCTGGTAGCATTCGACTCGTGCTGACTGGTGCACGTTCTTCCCACCTACTCGCCACAGCTTGCTATCCTCCACCATGTACTCGAGAGATCATTGGCATGCTCAGTGTGACTCTGCGGTGTTGGGTGGTGTTGTCGTCTGTAGGGTTGTGAGCCATGCTGCAATGTCGGCAAAGTAGGGGTCTCCCGCAAAATGTTCAAGGACCTTGCAGTTTCCTTCATCTGCTGTCGTGACCATGAAGAGATCATTCCCCACTCCTTTCTCCTCCTGTTAAGTGCCGGATTCAATGTAGGGGTCAGATTTGGTCAGAACTCTCCTTGACCAAGATTGGTAGTCGCAATATTCAGAAATGCGTGGAATATTGGATGACTTGGAAGTCGGAGACCTGAAGACTGATCTATACGGGTGTTGGCTTCAACTTATGGGTTGCACCCTCTTGGATTTCTAGTGCCCTGGTGTTTCTGATTGAAGACCGGAAAGTGTTATCGGTGTTCCGATTGGTCAGGTCTATTCGGGAGGTCAGTGCCAATGATACGTTGAGACTTATTGGAGATGAGCAGGGGTTTCAGGTATTTGTGAATGGAATAGTCAATGCGGGATGGGATAGGGGTAATGATAAATCAATATCAAGTAAAGGTTAGCTTTACTGGAAAGCGAGTGTAATCAAGGAGGGTTTTGGATTGTTGGATGAGGTAGGGTCGGAATAATCAGGGGAATCGGGATAATTGGATAATCAGAATAAATGGAATACCAAACAAGGTTTGAAGGCCTTATCGCAGGTAGAAGTTTGGAGTGATGAAGTGTAATAAAGGTTTAATGATATAAGATGGGTGGGATATATCAGGTGTACAGGGTATTGCGAGTTATATTGAAATAACAAGGTGAGATAACAAGATATGTGAAGGATATGTGAGATATGAGAAAGAGGTATATGATACACGATATAAGATATACAAGCTAAAGAAGCTTGATCAAGAGAAAACATATTTAAGAACATGTGGGATTCCAAAATCAGAAACAGGAGATAAGGGTGCGTGGTACAGAGTTCCGAAGTTGGAGCAAATACGGAAATCAAGATAAGACATACAGGGATAATATTGAAATAGAATCGTGACTAAGAATAATAAATGGGGACATGTTGGAAATAAGCAGAAAAGGGCTTATCGGAATACATAACGTCAGAATAACACGAGTCGGATCTGGGATCTAACACCTCCTCCCAGTCCGGCATAATTTCCACATCCTCTCCTTTGCCCATCTTCTGCTGTCCCCCATCCCACTTCCTGCTTAGCCCATCCGCTTGGTTCTCTGTGTCTGCTCTGTGCTTGATACTCATGATGTTTCGCATTACAATGGAATTCTTCCAGCATGTAAGGGTCGTCGATGGGTTGTCATTGCTGAGGAAGTCTCAGAGTGCTTGGCAGTCTGTGGTGATTTCGAGCAGCTGCCCAAATATAGTGCTGTCGAATTTGTTGAGTGCAAAGTGCAGTGCTGCGAACTTGAGTAGGAAAGGTGCATAGCCTTCTTCCAAGCACGATGTCTTCTTCGACCCATATGCCACTGGGCATTCCACTGACTTAATCACTTCTTTAGCATCTGTGACTCCCACATTTGTGATAGCAGGGCCCTGAATCCAAACTTTGATCTGTCTGTCATGACGATGAAGCTTCAGTCATACTGGGGTGTTTTGAGAACTGGCTCTGAGGTCAGGGCTACCTTCAGCCACGCAAATGCTTCCTGCTGCTCCGTGCCCCACTGCCAGGCCAGTAGTTCCTTTGCTAGGGCTCGCTTGTAGCTACCTCGTGTCTGCTTGCCTCCCTTTGGGCCTTCTGCACGTATGTTGCGTGTCAGGTCACTCAGGGGCCTTGCGATCCAAGTGTAGTCCTTTATAAGGTGACAGAAGTGCCCTGTTAGCCCCAGAAACCCTAACAGCTCAAGTGTGTTCTTCAGTGTTTCCCAGCCTAGGATGGTGGCTACCTTTTTTAGGTCTGGTGCAATTCCAGCCACCAAGACAACTGCTCCGGTGAACAAGACTTTGGACATGAAAAGCTTCATTTTGGTCGGGTTGAGTGACAGTTGTTTCTCTCTGCATTGTATGAAGAATTGACATAGCTTCTCTAATTTTGGTGCAAACATATCGCTGGTGAGTGCACAGTCATAAACCCATGGCTCGACATCCCATCCAATCAGGTCACCCAGTGCCGTCGAGACCATCTCCCCGAAGGTGTTTGGTGATCCTGTCAGTCCCAGTGGCATCCGAAGATATGCATAGAGCTCTCGGCCTGGAACCTCAAATGCAGTGAATCTGATGTCATCTTCTTCCATTGCAACTGAATAGAAGCCTGTCATGAAGTCTGCTATCGAGACCCAGCGGTGGCCTGCAATCTGTTGCTGTTTCGCTCCCAGATTGCCCATGGGAAAGCTGTGCTGCGGTGTCTCCTTGTTGAGGCTGATGTAGTTGTGGCATAGGCGCCACTTCGGTTTCCCTGTGGGCTTCATCTCCTCCTCTCCTTCCTTCCTCTCTTCTCTCACTTCCTCCCATATCGGCAGTAGCCCTGCTGCCACACATTCTCAATTCACTCTCACTCTCAGCTCTTTCACCATCAGTCCCTTTGGTCCCACATCTTTGGGTGCTAGGATCAATGGTGACACCCACTTGGCTGCCACTGCAGGTATCTTCTTGACTATCCCGGCTTCCTCCAAGTCATCAAGTGTCTTGTACAGCCACTCGATCTGTGGTTGTGACAGAGGTTTTTGGTTGCTATGTCTGGGGCCTCGTAGATCTGGTGGTACACTCAGTGCATGTCATATGAAGTCGACCGGTTGAACCTCTGACAGTGATAGTGCGAAAACATCGGCATATTCCCATACTAGGTTTGTGACTTCCTCTCTCTCTGCTGGGATGAGATCTGTCCCGATCATGACTGCCTGGATGACCTTCTCAACACATTTGGGGTCCAGTCTGTTCGTTTTCTTTGTTGCCTCCTTGATTTCTCTGGTCAACATCATCACCTCCACCACAGATGGTCCTGACTCTATCTCCACATGTTCTCCCCTTTCTGTCTTTTTCATCGTCTCTTCAGTCTCCACACCCTGGATTTCCCACAAGTCATCCCCCTCCTTTTGGTCTCTCCCCTGTGCCTTCCATGCTGTCTCTAATGCCCTCCCATCTCTATGTCGGCATCTCCTCGCCTCTGCTATCATCTCTGCATATGCTCTGGCATCTGCCACTGCTCTCTGTGCTCGGGCTTTTTTGCAATGTCTGGCTGCTGCTTGTTCACCTGGTAATGTCTTCCCCTGGGTTGTTTTCTCTCTTTCCTCCATCTCTTCTTCCACCGCTTCCCTGGGGCCTATGCTCATTCCTGCCACCTCTTCTGGCTTCTCTCCTTGGGTAATTGATTTTGTTTCCTCTGGCCTTGGTGTGACCATAGCCTTCGTCTTGTTTCACAGGGTAGTCACCGTGCCATCTGGCTTCACTGAGTGCAGCGTGTCTTTGTCAAAGTCCTGTGTGAGGCCTGCCAATGCTAACCATGGTTTGCCTAGCAGGAGTTCGAATGCTCCTGCTGATTCAAGAACTTTGAATCCACCGATTGCTGACATGTTGTCCAGAGCAATGTATCCTACCCAGCGTCCTTGGGATGGGACTATCGCTCCATTTGCCATCTTGGCTTGTGTTTGGGATGGTGTTAGCTTGCCTAGCCTGTGTTTGAGTGTCTGCCATACTTCCACATCTATGGCATTCATCATTGCCCCACCATCTGCTGTCGCTGTCAGCTTCACTGGCTGTCGCTCTCTGCTGGAAACCAGGGCCTGGTGTCAGAATGGTAGTGAGCACATTTGTTGCTTAACGAGAGCAGATGGAGTGTGGACCCCTGTGTGTATGAGAAAAATGAGTCATTGTAAATGTTTGCTTTATGTGACATGTGCGGTGGTTGTTCTTTCACCATCCATAACATAGGTCCTCCCCCATCTCCCCTTATTTCCGCACTACTCCTGCCATGCCCTTGACAGCTGTAACACCTGCTTGTGGTTGTGAATGCTTTTGGTGGGGTGGAATGCCTTGGGAGTGGTGTGCCTTTACTCACATGTCTGTTGGGTTCTAGTTTGGGAGGCAGAGCTGCCCAGTCTAGTGCTCCACCTCCTGCCCTTTTCCCACTTCACCATTCTCCAGCATCAGCAGCAACTCTTCCTCTCCCACTTCTTCCTTTTCCCCTGTCTCCATTGAGATCCAGAATAGGGGTGTATTCTGGTCAGGTGGGACTGGCATTCTCGCAAACCGGTTCTTTGCATAAATGTTATGGCAGTACTGCTGTTCACGTTGCTCAAGCAGCTTGTTCTGACACGAGAACATATTGTGGGTGGGGGTCTCTGGCTGTCCACATCTGGAGCAGAGATCATTGGTCGCAGGAGCTGAGCCTGCAGATAGCGGGTATCCTGAGTTGGCATGTGGGTGCATGCCTGGGTGTCACTGGAAACAAATCAAGGTGTCCTGAGCCAGGAAATGCTTGGGGAATCCTCTGGAAAGCTATCATGTTAACATCATGTATGGACTTGTAACATGCTTGTTCTATTTAATATGGTCCAAATATGTTTCAAAGCCAGACATACATGGAAAAACTCAAATATTCATAGCATGTATTCCATATTATCACTGGATTTGTTCAAAATATGGCCTCTTCCAGTGCATGCACACAATATTCCATGATCATATGAAATACATGCTATGAACATTTCAATTTTTCCATGTATTTCTGGGTTTGAAACATATCTGGGTCATATTAAATAAAACAAGCATGTTACAAATCCATACATGATGTTAACATGATAGCTGTCCAGAGGATTCCCCAAGCATTTCCTGGCTCAGGACACCTTGATTTGTTTCCAGTGTGTGCTGCTACCCACTCCTTCCTTGCTTTCTCTACATGCACCCTGTTTGTGGGTGTGTCCGGGGGTGGAACTTGCAGTGTGTTCTCTATACGTCTGGCTCTCGGTGTGAACAGTGTAGTTGGTGTGACTGGCGTGGATGGCATCTGGGGTGGTGTTATTGCTGGTGATTGATATCTCAGTTCAGGTGATGCTGTCGCTGTTTGCAGTGTGTAGTTCTGGTTAGCATTGCGACTGGCCCACGTTTGACGAGGTGGCTGCACAGGAGCGTTGCCACGTATATATAATTGTGAGAGTTGAGATGTCAGGTCGACCTGGCATGTTTGAGTGAATTTGATGGCATCGTAGATGTGCTGTTCATCATTTAACTCCTCAGCCATGAGCTGTCTGAGCATGTTCATCCACTCCCTCCACATCGTGGCTTCTGTAGTGTGACCCTGCATGATACGCTGAATTGAGTCTGGGAGTCGTCTTGTTGCTGAGCTGATCATTGCCACGTCTGGCATGCCCCTTTCGCTGCATTTCCTTCCCAGCTGTATAACTCATCAGCGTATACGTCATGTGCCTGTCTCTTCCTCCCAATCAACTCTACTTTCGTCCCTAGGTCTGTGATGTCGAAATTGTGTGTCTCAAACACTTCCCACTTCTCTGTGTATGACTCCTTATGGTGTTCTTCTGGGGGCCATCTGATCGCAAACAGGCCCTTGATAATGACCCAGCTCTGTTGTTGGTCATTTGTCAGTGTTGCTAACCACCTTTCCCCCAGTTCGTTGGGTCTCATGTATCCTTCAAATAGCCCCACCGCCATGCGGACTTGATGTGCTGCTGCTATTGTTGCTGTTCTTGTCAGCATGTGTAACTGAAATTTTTTCCTCCATAGCTGTGCATCTTCAGATCCATCCCCATAGAACATCTGGAGTCCATCCACAACGTCTTCACCTGTTACCTGGTTGTTTGCCATGGCATATGCTGCGATCGTGTGTCGTTGATCGTGTTTCTTGGCTGCACTCTGTGGAGTGTGAAGTTGTTGTGTGGGTCCAGGTTGATTTTCTGGTGTGACAAAGCATGCTAGCATGGCTTTGGCCGTGTGCTGTAGTATCAGAGTAAGTCTGAAGGAAAAAGCTGTAGGAATCCCATCGATGTCACCACTTGGAGACGTCAGTCCCTCTAAGGCGAGAGCAAAGGGAAGATGTATTATGTAACTACGGGTGCCTAGCTATGGGGCAGCCCTGGCCTGGTCCAACACCAGTGTAAGTAGCCGTGCAATGGTGACACCGCTACCCACTGTCTTTTGGATTCATCTCTGAAAGTAAACTGACAGCACTGACTGAACTGTTCAGTGTGAATTATACCACTGGGCATTTCTCGGCCCAATCCTTCTGATCACTCTGCACTACAGTGTGGAGTATTTGCCCTACAGAACAATTTTCTCATTCTGTTGCTCCATCCATCTGCAGGTGGAATGCTGTGGACATGAGCAGTTTTGTGCCCATTATCTGCTGCAATTCCCTCCAAATATGGAGGTGAATTTGGAGTTGTGATCCAAGACGATTGACTCAGGTACTCCATGCAGGTGTATTACTTCTTTGAGGTATAGCCACGTGACTTGTCACACAGTAACTCTCATCATAGTTGGCACTAGATGCACCATAGACATGAGTCTTTCAATCATGACTAATAAGTAGTTGTGACCCTTTGATTCTGGCAATGGACCAACAAAGTCCATTCTGATAGACTACCATGGTCTATCAGGTATCAGCAGGGTATGCAACAACCCTACTCGTCATCTATTGTTCTTCTTTGCAGCCTGACAGGTGTCAAAAACCGCCTTTGGCCTGTTATCACTGGGGGCATGAGCATATTTTTAGTGTAAAAAATGTGATAAAAATGCTTTTTCCTTACAGATTATTCATTCACTGTTCTGGTTGAAAAATCTCCCAAAAATGCTGCTTTTTTTATCAAGTTTTAGGACCTGTAAATCTGGTACATACTTCACATTTCTAGGCATGGGAAATGGATGTAAAATGTGAGAAATAATGAATTTACTCATTGATTTCATGCCACAAAAATGCAAGGACAATCTTGGTTTTCATTGACATTTTCAACAGAAAAGAACCAAAATTTATCCAAGATTTCATAGTAGAAAAAAGGTGAAAAAATTAGTAAAATATATGAGATTTTCATGAGATTTTTCAAAACTATTAGCCAATGAATAATCCAACATTTTTCTTTAGTTTTTGCAAGGAAAAACCTGATGGATAAATGTTTATCCAATGGATAATCATTCACCCATAGGCAATATATAACAAGTTTTCTGAACTGAAAAGGCAATGAAAAAGTCAATGGATAAGAGTTTATCCCTTGGATAATCATTCTGCCATAGGCAGAACATTTACCCCATATGGCAGAATGATTATCCAAGGGATAAACTCTTATCCATTGACTTTTTCATTGCCTTTTCAGTTCAGAAAACTTGTTATATATTGCCTATGGGTGAATGATTATCCATTGGATAAACATTTATCCATCAGGTTTTTCCTTGCAAAAACTAAAGAAAAATGTTGGATTATTCATTGGCTAATAGTTTTGAAAAATCTCATGAAAATCTCATATATTTTACTAATTTTTTCACCTTTTTTCTACTATGAAATCTTGGATAAATTTTGGTTCTTTTCTGTTGAAAATGTCAATGAAAACCAAGATTGTCCTTGCATTTTTGTGGCATGAAATCAATGAGTAAATTCATTATTTCTCACATTTTACATCCATTTCCCATGCCTAGAAATGTGAAGTATGTACCAGATTTTCAGGTCCTAAAACTTGATAAAAAAGCAGCATTTTTGGGAGATTTTTCAACCAGAACAGTGAATGAATAATCTGTAAGGAAAAAGCATTTTTATCACATTTTTTACACTAAAAATATGCTCATGCCCCCAGTGTATCTTTGACAGAACACAGTCAGTAACAACAAATGTGGTTAAGGAACCCTTCCGACAAGGCCGAAAGTGTTAGCGATGAGGTATGCAAAGTGTACAAACTAAGACAGCAAGAGAAATGGCACCATAATGGTGCCTACTTGTCGAAACTGGGATAGAGAAGGAATTTGAAAGAAGAAAGCAGAGTTTACTTAGCAGACAAATTTGATGCTAGCAACATTATTGTCAAAGATAAAGAGGGATAGAGATAAAAGGATAATGAGTTCAGAATAGTTGTTAGACTCGTCGTATGACTTTGATGTGTAGATGACACCAAGTAAGGAGAGGATGCAGACTTATGATAATAGAACTAAAGAAATACATGTGTTCTATCCTACTGTTTTATACTAGGCATATTCACCGAAGTTGGATAGAGACCATGTGGACTGCATGCTACATGGAGGTATTATCCTGAACTCATCCGTATAGCTGTGATAGTTGTTGATGTTAATATCTACTG